TATAGCTGGAATATTGCTGAGTGCGGCGTTGAACAACAAACCAACCAACCAACCAACCAACACCCGATCCCTGCCCTCACGACATTCATGACATATTCTAATAAGAGCCCCCAATTTCCAATTTTGAGAGCGCCTTGGGCACTTATAACGTCGAATACGGTATGCGTCAACTTTTTGTTGGCTGAAAACTAAATTAAAGAGCGCGTTCAGCACAAATGATGAAACACACGAGCGACGGATCCGTCTATTTTACGGCGCGGGAGGTCACTTTCAACAGCAACAGGAATGGTTTAATGTGTTTCATATTCCATGAATCTGAGGGGGCACGGGTGGCCCAGTCGTCTAAGGCGCCGCGATTCGCTGTGCAGAGTTGCGTCCCTTGGGCACGCCAGAAACCTATGATTGTGGGTTCGAATCCCGGTTCGCCCCGATTATGTTTCTAGGTTTGTCAGCACCATACCCGTGCTCTTGGGTTTCACCGAAGTGGTAAACGTCTGAGACCTGCATCACTTCGGGCTTTCCTCCCACACCAAGCTGACAAGCTTGAATAACGTTAAAAGCGGCGTTAAACCCAACTCACTCACTCACTCACTCCATGAATATGAACAGAGCGGCCGCGTCGCTGGCAGCCGTTTTGACTACTAATGCATTGTTATCACGATTTTTAATCAATGAACACTTTTGCATAATTCCGTTTCGGAAGGAATTAGTGAAAAACGTAAAGCCAGAGTCTGTGGACAACAGATGGTATCCTGTTAAACAAATTCAAAAGGAAAGCATGAGGGTACAATAATGTGAAAATGAGTAACCGACAAGTTGGTGAAAGACCTGTGTTGGAAGTGTATGAATCCAAGAAAGGGCACACAGAAGTTCTGTTTTTAGAGTTTTTGTATTTCTTTGTTTGTTGTTTAACGCCGCACTCAGCAATATTCCAGCTATATGACGGCGGTCTGTAAACAATCGAGTCTGGACCAGACAATCCAGTGATTGACATCACGAGCATCGATCCACCCAATTGGGATCGATGACATGCATCAACCAAGTCAGCGAGCCTGACCACCCGATCCCGTTAGTCGCCTTTTACGACAAGCATAGTCGCCTTTTACGGCAAGCATGGGTTGCTGAAGACCTATTCTACCCCGGAATCTGCATGGGTCCACACAGAAGTAAGTCGTGACTGTCAAGTAAAACTTCCTTGCAATGTCCCACGATACACAACTTAGACCACTTGCCTTCCGTGACGTGATCCAATAATTCCGGAACATTATCATACTACCTTCCTAACAACGTGAACCCATGGTCATACCAATGGTCATGTAATACCTCCGTAACAACTTTTATATACGAGAACATCACGCGAAAGGTCATCAGACGTCTCTCCAATCAACGAAGCAGATAGTCCTGAGGAAAATGTTAATACGATATAATTGCATCTCCAGATATAAATAGCCATATTAGAACTATATCATATATTTCAACGGTATATGACTATGAGTGATAAACGTTTGAATAAAGACGGTAGCTATACGCCCGAATATCTTTCCATTTCAGACTGTTGAAAATACCCCACGCCCTCAAGGCAAAATAGGGGCGGTCGGGTAGCCTAGTGGTTAAAGCGTTCTCTCGTCACGCCGAAGACCCGGGTTCGATTCCCGACAAGGGTACAATGTGTGAAGCCCATTTCTGGTGTCCCCCGCCGTGATATTGCTGGAATATTGCTAAAAGCGGCGTAAAACCATACTCAGTCAGTCAGTCAGTCAAGGCAAAATACGTCCTCTGCAGTTAAGCTCCTTTGAGCAAACGGCGTCACGTAATGTATATTAACACTGACCTCAGATGTACATTGAAGCGTATAACGCCCGTGATATTCCTACATAATATGCCTCGAGAGACGAACAGGTGCGTGACAAACCAGTTTCTGTAGTACACAAACCAACCCAATGGAAGCTTGATAATCTAGGGAAAACGCCGTTGACACAACAAAACACCATAACACCTATATGCAATCCAAAATACTTGATTCAATGTAGAACCTTAATAAGTGAAATAAAATAGACTTCAACATGAAGGTATATGATTGTAGGCCCGATAGCAACAAACACATATCGCCGATGGACGAGTCCGCTCTGTACGCCCAAGGTCAGGACAGATTAGTAAGAAAGCTGGCATTAAGAACTCGGATGTAAACTTCCACTCAGGGACCGGTTGCAACAAGTAACTGGTGTAAGATCCATGTCCAGACGGTGCCAAATCCTCTGCACAGATGTGTAGACGGCACAGATGGCACAGATGGCACATTAGCCTAGTGGTTAAAGCGTTCGCTCGTCACGCCGAAGACCCGGGTTCGCTTCCCGACACAGTTACAATGTGTGAAGCCCATTCCTGGTGCCCTACCCCCCCGTGATATTGCTGGAACATTGCTAAAAGCGGCGTGAAACTATATTCACTCACCCACGCACTCACTCCAATATTGTCCATGGCAAAGTCACAGGTCAGTACTATCGTGACAGCATCACAGCACTACGCGTAGTGTCATTTGCAGATATAGTTACCACCCATCAGATACATGATCCATTTGCCAAAACCATATAGAGCAGAAGATCTAGCTTGATGATTCCCATATCCCATATTTGTTGCGTAATGTATATATTAATGGCTGGTATGATTATCTACAGGACAAATGACTGTTACGTAAAACAACATTCACTCATCCAATCGGCTAATTTAATCAGCAAGGTTTCATTGCTGGGTTTTCCAGGGGTGCGTTGCAAAGCGCCAATCGCTTTTATGCGATGCACAGCAATTCGCCTCACAACAGTGGCTAACTTTCAGCCGATTGCAAGCGAAACAATCGCTGGCTGAGGTCGCTTCGTTCTCAAACCAAAATGGCGGCTGACTTTGACAGCGGAACAAGAAATTCTTCACTGGATCAACGAGGAAATGAGCAAAGGCAGCTGACACCCCATCATCCTCAGTCAGCTCCACATCTTCAAAGTAGTCATCAATTTCATCAGCTCTTCAACGAGCCTCTTCTATTACAGTAAAGTACGGTTATAACGAACTCAAAGGGACTACTAATTTTAGTTCGTTATAACCGTAGTTCGTTATAAGCATATATATAACATAATTACAGCAAATGGTCGGGACCAAAAAGTAAGTTCGTTATATCCGTCAGTTCGTTATAAGCGTGTTCGTTATAACCGTAGTTTACTGTACATTCTTCATTACGCCAAGGCAACCAAGCGGTAGTTGCTCCGCCATTTTGGAAGAGTGTGCAAGCGCTTCGAACGGTTGCAGACCCCGGATGAGCGATTAATTTGCTTTCTCTCAGCTATTCGTAACTTGCAACGTGCATCAGCTCAGTCAGTGTGGTTATGATAAGAAGGTCATGAAGTTTCCTGCTATGGACATCTGCTGCTGATTGGATAATCCACTCTGTGTCAACGAGACTACCGGGTTTATAGTTTGGTAGCATATCGGTGACACCTCGTAATGCAAATGTCTGCCGCAATTAGTTACGTGCATCAATAACAAGAGAATATAAAACCACAAACTCTAGTCCACATGGTCCGACCACATGTTCAAGAATACCTTCTCAGTTAGGTACCGAGCGCGTAAAAGAGCACACCATGACCTGAAATACTAAAGGTGTTCAACAACGTGCATTTCTATAAGAGGAAATCATATAAATAAGCAGACCAGTTTAGTGTACAAATTACTTGAAATCATGAATATTTATAGAACAGGATGCAGATAGCATCACACACTATAACTGGTAAAATGTGTTGGTTTTTCATCTAAAGCAAACAAGTTGATGCAAGTAATATCGATGTACTTGCCAAGTGGTAAATATATAGAAGCACACACCACCTAAGGTAACTGTGTAGCAGTTGTGATTGCCCTGCAGCCAACACGCCCATGTCACCTGCACTAGTGTTAATTAGTGTTTTGTCCCATGTGTACACTGGCAGTCGATGTTGTGATACTGCTTTGCGATGATTTTTTACCGGGTTCAACACCAGGTGGGTGTAAACATGACATTGAAAAGGTTCATGGTGAATGTAAACGTCCTGGTTCTGAAATGAATATCATCATGAAGAAACCTCAGTTCGTTTATGTATATACACCAGAGGGGTGTGTGTTAAATATTACATTTATCCTCTGAATCCAATGGTATTGTAGATATACAAGTTGTACCTCGGTTTTGAAATGAATTTCATGTGACAACCTATAGATGGGTTGCCTTGTCTGAGGACCGATAAGTGAGGGTATGTTCTGATACTGATTCCTTTGATCAACATAATGAGTTCCACATTGGATACCTGTGTGTTCTTGTTGCTGTTGGTCATTTTCTGTTGTCAAGGCACTGAAGGTAAGTGAGAAAGTGGTTTCATATAAATATCAATTATATGTGTTCTTTTTGGGATTCTTGAGCTCAGATACAGGGCTTACATGATGGCACAATGATGTGTATGTATGTATGTATGTATGTATGTATGTATGTATGTATGTATGTATGTATGTATGTATGTATGTATGTATGTATGTATGTATGTATGTATGTGTGTGTGTGTGTATGTATGTATGTAAGCATGTGTGTGTATGTGTGTATGTGTGTATGTATGTATGTATGTATGTATGTGTATGTGCGTGCGTGCGCGTGCGTGCGTGCGTATGTGTGTTTGTATGTGTGTGTGTATGTTTGTGTGTGTATGTGTGTGTGTGCGTGTGTGTGTTTATGTCTGTCTGTGTAGGTATGTTTTGAGAACGTACGTACATGTTTGATTTAATGTGTGTTCACAGGGTCTCTTGTACTGTCAAGTTCTTCAACGACAGCAACAAAAGGAGATAACTTCACACTGATATGCACCAGCAACACCACGGGTGGAGACGGTTACTCTATACAGTGGAAAAGGAGCGGTAATCTTTTATTCAAGACGACATACCATCCATCACAGTCGTGTGAGATATCTGAAGTCAACCACAGCGTCTACAGGCCCATGTACGAAGGCCGCACCACTGTCAGCTGTGATGTCTTCCAGCACAATGTTACTGTCCTCATAAACCCTTCCTACGACTATAAAACGTTTTGGGTGTGTAACGATACTGTGAGAGGACAAACGAGCAACACCATAACGATCAGTAAGTTATTTTTTTATTCAACATCTGTATCCGTTGTCAATGACATGTGTATTCCCTTACTCACATTTCAGCCACAACCATACATATGCCTTGTATGCAATAGCCACAGAACATATGTGGTTATAATAATTCCATGGTCTGCTTGTCATGATTTATAATTAAGAAATAAAGTTTGCTCTTTTCTCATTTGTAGTGTAATATTGTATAGGTTTGCCCTGACCTGTTATGGTTAAAACCCGAGAACTTGAGTGTGAGTGCTTTGATGTTATAACAGTTCAGGGCAAAACTTTTATTGTATTACACTACACATGAGAAAAGAAAAAAAATTCATTACCTTTCGAAGATGCCGAATGTAAAACTAATAAATTTATTGGAGATGGGTTTGAAATCCAATCTGTAATAAACGTGCCTTAAATCCCCGAACAGGGCCAACTGACGGGCTGTTCCACGGTATAGTTGGCGCCTTTGATCTTTTAGCATAGCATCTTAGAACTGTCAGTTTCATATAAGTCAGCTAAAGCATCCATTCCTCTTTCAGAGCAGCCATCTGTACAACCTAGGACAACGTCGTCTTTTCCACCTAACTCGACTGTTCCAACGACGTCCACGGTTCAACAACAAACCTCTACCGTAGCACCGACTTCCACTGTTCCAACGACCTTCACTGTTCCAACGACCGCAACTGTTCCATCAGCCTCAACCGTAACACCGACTTCCACTGTTCCAACGACTTCCACTGTTCCATCAACCTCCACTGTTCAAACGACCTCCACTGTTACAACGACCTCCACTGTTCGACCAGCCTCAACCGTAACACCGACTGCCACTGTTCCAACGACCTTCACTGTTCCAACGACCCCCACTGTTCGACCAGCCTCAACCGTAACACCGACTGCCACTGTTCCAACGACCTCCACTGTTTCACCAGCCTCCACCGTAACACCCACTTCCACTGTTCCATCTGCGTCAACTGCACCTCAAGCAATAACCACACCATCTTCAACCACCTTAACTGTTTCATCAACATCAAACATCCCTGCTACACCTTTTGCTACAACGTTCTCGACAATTACTACATCCGCAACAACAGTGTCAGCATTCGAAGGTGAGGTGAGGTGAGGTGAAATTGAGTTTAACGTCGCGTCCAAGATTATTGCACTTATATAGCGACGTAGTATCAGCATGTGCGTCTATTTCCTAACTTATAGTAATTGACTTGATGTATGTATGAATGTGTTATTGATATACTTGCGTTTTGGTATCCGAAACTCTCCGTCAGTATCTACCAAATCTGTGGTTCTATCAGGGATGTGGCTGGTAGGCGTACTCCTAATATATCTGTAGCTTAGAGGGTGGCCGGGTACGTCAGGCATGGGGGCAATAGTCTCCGACTTAACAATTAACGTTCCAATTCACACTCTGCTTGACTTCAGAGAAAGAAGTAACTTTTGATACTCATATTTTATATGCGTGCTATGCTCGACCAGGCAGGACCTCGAGTCACTTCAATAGCACTCGTTTCGGTCATTGCTTACTATTTTTATTATTCCGTACATGTCAATCGATAGTCGAGTAACCAATACCCCCAAATTGATATGATTCATTTGTGACATTTTCCGGGTTCTGAGCTTCCAATTGACCTGCTAAAACACAACCAACAACTATCACGTGGCTTCTTATATCGGTTGGTAACTCAACCCTTCCTCGGCTGCTACTGTCACGTACTGGCATCACCGTCATTCACCAGCAGCTTATTTCTGAAACGTTTTGGTTCCTTGTTGTTTTTATTCCATTGATTTGGCAACCCTCACAGAACAGTCCAAAAACGGTGTCAGAATGTTCACACTAATGGTGTAACATTTGTAAGGATTCTTTACCTTCTACCAGCCATTCATTGCAATCCTCAGGAACAAATCCATTTGAAAACGCCCAATAATGACCTGCAAGAAAGAAGGACATGCACTAGTGTCTAGATACTGCCTAGATATTGCCTCGATACTGCCTAGATAATGCCTAGATGCTGCCTAGATACTGTATACTTCCAACAAAGCATGACGTACATAGTGCATCCATCGGTCAAGTTGTTAACGTAAGTAATTAAAGCCACTACTGAAAGCGCAACGTTATGTGGTACGTTTTGCTTAATTCTGCATACGTTTATTGAAACTAGCGTGAAGGTTAAATAACCGAATTGAGGAGCTAGTCACAAGAGTTTATTTGATTTGTTTCATTCAAAACCCAGTGCAGTACTGTTGTCCTGATATACACAGTTACGTTGTCAGTATTTGTTTTTCAGTTCAAAACCTGGGCTTGCAAGGTGTTGTTTACATCGTAGTTGGATCTGCTACGGCCGTACTTGTCATCATCGTCATCGCCGTCGTCGTTGTGTATATCAGAAGGCGACGTCACCCATCTGAAGGTACACATGGATATAGCTACTAAGTCTTATCGCACACTATCAACATGCCTTCTTGAATGGTCAGAGGCACGGGTGGCCCACTCGTCTAAGGCGCCGCGATTCGCTGTGCAGAGTTGCGTCCCTTGGGCACGCCAGAAACCTATGATTGTGGGTTCGAATCCCGGTTCGCCCCGATTATGTTTCTAGGTTTGTCAGCACCATACCCGTGCTCGTGGGTTTCACCGAAGTGGTAAACGTCTTAGACCTGCATCACTTCGGGCTTTCCTCCCACATTAAGCTGACACGCTGTGATATAACTGGAATACTGTTAAAAGCGGCGTTAAACCCAACTCACTCACCCACCCTTGAATGGCCACATTATCTTTCATCTTTTCCTTCAGGTTCCATTGGAGTCACAGACAAGACCGATACATCAAACAGAAAGTAAGAATAGTTTGAAAATGGTTGTTTTAATAGAAATTAATTTCTCAAAAACACTTTATTTTAACTACGGTAGCTGTATCCGTTGCAGTATACACAGGCACATGTAATCAGACTGACTCAATTAATATTAGGGGCGGTCCGGTAGCCTAGTGTTTAAAGCGTTCGCTCGTCACGCGGAAGACCCAGGTTCGATTTCCGACATGGGTACAATGTGTGAAACCCATTTCTGGTGTCCCCGCCGTGATATTGCTGGGATAAACGTACTCACTCACTCACTCACTTATATTAATATTCACACTTCATGCTTTTAGACATAAGGTGGAGAAAGTGGGTGACAAGGAAAACGATGAATCGGGTAAGTGCAACTTTTTGAACCCAATAATGTTTTTGGTTGAAAGACACATGTTTTTAGCCATTATGTATTTTGCAGCTATTTCATTTTACTTATGTGATCCTTTGTATAGAATTTGGATATGCGCCAGTAAAATAATACATCATCTAAGTAATGACTAAATATTGTCATCAGGCTAGTCCTAATTAAGTGAAAATATGTATGCCCTTTAACTATTCAGTCACGTCACAATACGAATTGAAAAGGTTCTTAATGCATATGTATATTTCAGTTATGCAGGACAACGCCTTGTATATCAGCTCGCCAGCAGTGACTACACATGAATTCAACACCAACGGTAACGACAATTCCTTTGAAGTTAAGCATACATCCTGTATCATATAGCTATTGCTTCACGTTATGATGAGGAATGTCCTTTATGATATACATATAGCTATTGCTTCACGTTATTAAGACGACGCGTCCTGTATCATATAGCTATTGTTTCACGTTATTAAAAGGATACATCCTGTATCACATAGATATTGCTTCACGTTATGATGAGGAAATGACTTTTATCATACACATGCAGCTATTGCTTCACGTTATTAAGAGGGTACGTCCTGTATCATATATAGCTATTGCTTCACGTTATTAAGAGGGTACGTCCTGTATCATATATAGCTATTGCTTCACGTTATTAAGAGGGTACGTCCTGTATCATATATAGCTATTGCTTCTCGTTATTAAGAGCGTACGTCCTGTATCATATATAGCTATTGCTTCACGTTATTAAGAGGGTACGTCCTGCATCATATACAGCTATTGCTTCACGTTATTAAGAGGGTACGTCCTGTATCATATATAGCTATTGCTTTACGTTATTAAACTGATACGCCCTGTATCATAAGCCTATTGCTTCACGAGATTTAGAGGATGGATCCTATAACATATGGCTACAGTTTCACGTTATGATGAGGAAATGCCCTTTATCATAAACATATAGCTGTTGCTTAAAATGATACGCCCTGTATGCAAAATGCTATTGCTTCACGTTATTAAAATGATACACACTGTATACAAAATACTATTGCTGCACGTTATTATGAGCAAATGTCATGTATCATAAAATGATGACACGAAAATGATCGCGAAAAGCGTATGCATGTCCTGCTTTATCGCTAGCAGCGTCACGTCAACAATTTGCATAACAAAATAAATGCTTATTTGTTGCTTAATAAATAACAGAATCCGTTTTACGATTCCGACTATATTATAAGTATGTGTCAGCTGTTTCGGCGGACAACCAAGACTGGTTATTCTATAGCATTGACATTTTATATTGATGAATCACTATCAAATATTGATGATACCACGTGTTCGAGAAAGGTTGAGCACATCCTGCCCCTCGTGGCTCCCGTCACAAACACACGCAAAAGCAAGTCATTTGTTCACATGAAAATGAAAACATTTGCAGTAGGAGGGGGTAAAATATCTTGTTCTGAACGAACCACAAACACTGCCTCCTCACCCTCATCCCGCCCCCACCCAAGTTGATCCTCATTATCTCCTTATCATCCAAACCCGTGAAGATTCCGGGGTAGAATAGGTCTTCAGCAACCCATGCTTGCCGTAAAAGGTGACTATGCTTGTCGTAAAAGGCGACTAACGGGATCGGGTGGTCAGGCCCGCTGACTTGGTTGAAGCATGTCATCGATCCCAATTGGGTGGATCGATGCTCATGATATTAATAACTGGATTGTCTGGTCCAGACTCGATTATTTACAGACCGCCATCATATAGCTGGAATACTGCTGAGTGCGGCGTAAAACAACAAACCAACCAGCCTTATCATCCATGTGTATTCAGTGTGAATAGCAATAGTCGGCTCACATGTATGTGGAGCAAACGTGAATGTCAGTAGCTTATATACTTTGACTATTGTTGCAGATATGTATACTGAAGTGCATAAACCGAAAAGGGTTGCAGATAATTACCTCTAGGTCAGCAAGAATAATGAACGTACAGGTAAGGTTTTGTGTAACAATTTGTCAATATCCTATTTAAAACTCCATGCAGATAATAATGTTGTACATGGAAAGTCGTCCTTATGAAACTGATGAAGCTTTTAAGCTTGCATTTGATCTACGTCTTATAGAAACGTTTCTGTCTGGTTTCAGAAGCTGCGGAAATGACAGTAATTCATCTCACAGCATGACGGTAACGAGGAAGAAAGCCTACCACACACACAACTATCGAACACACCGCACTTGATTGCACTTCCTGATTGCGTAAGATAATGTGCCGAATGGAGATGTATCACATTTGAGGCAAAGTGTGGGTCATAAAGGCTGTGTTGCCTTTTGGGTCAGTGGATTCTATTTCGTCGTATAATCGATACTAGTTATTCTCTGGCAATGACGGTTAATATTTACAAGAAAATATCACCGTCATGAATCTATTCATGGGTGTATATATTGCGGAAAAAAATGTCAATTGCACTCTCACAGAGTGACGTTTTGCATTAAACATGTTGCCTTTTATGTTCGCTTCCACTGGTAAATCCCCTGGCGGTAAATGCAATCATTCGCTTTTCTGGAGTCTTTGAATGCTGGTATGTAGATTGTTGAGCGATTTACGTGTTTCTACGATAGAAGTAGCAGGTGTTATATACTCTGTTGTTTACCGACCTTTCCTAAATCCACGTTTATTTTCTTCTTAAATGCTATTCTCCGCATATTTATTTGTCAGCACCAAACCCGTGCTCGTGGGTTTCATCGAAGTGGTAAACGTCTTAGACCTGCATCAATTCGGGCTTTCCGCCCACATTAAGCTGACACGCCGCGATATAACTGGAATACTGTTAAAAGCGGCGTAAAACCCAACTCACTCACTCACTCACAGTATACCTAGGTAAAAAGGTAAATCCCCTGTATGATAGTGGGTCTCTTCGATCAACCGTTGATGTCCTCGGGTTAGGATTGATGATACCTTTCGGTCAGTTTTACAAAACTCTTACAAAACCTACTGTGAATATGTTGAGATACTTGAGACACGTGCCATTGCAAAGAACCTTCATCACTATATTATCAATACCACTTGCCTTGTTAGCTTTGAACACCGCATAACAAACTTCCTCTACGATGATAGGCATGCACATCTGTAGGTCTTCTGTGACAACAGGAAAATGTCTAGTGTTTCCACTGCAGGAGTTACACTTCCACAAATCCGAGTATGATTTTCCCGTTTTCTCATCAAAATACCCTCATCACATTCTGAACAATCGGTTAAAGTTATCGCCATAGAAATATTATTCTTCCGCTCGCAGTCAACTGCAACGTTCCCAATCTGTATTCAGAACTGCCTCATATCAGAATCTCATAAATCCGTCTTCAAGTCTCCCAGCGTTCCCTTCACATGAGCACGTTAAGCTCTCGTACATTGTTTGTCTAGGGGCGGTCGGGTAGCCTAGTGGTTAAAGCGTTCGCTAGTCACGCAGAAGACCCGGGTTCGATTCCTGACATGGGTACAATGTGTGAAGCCCATTTCTGGTGACCCCGCCGTGATATTGCTGGAATATTGCTAAAAGCGGTGTAAAACCATACTCACTCACTCACTCACTCACTCATTGTTTGTCTAGCGATTTCCGTATTTACACTTTTTTGAAATGTGATTTCCGAGCTTCTTTCGTTTTAAACCACTGTTACTCCACAGACCAGAATTCATTCCATACTGAGAGATCGTCTGTCTTCCATTTCATTCTTTACCTTCAGTCGTTTATTACTTCTAGGTGAATGATGTGTGGTTCTTTTTAAAGGCAGCTTATCAGTCATGACACGCAGAACTTCATGAGCAACTCATCATCAGCACTTCAATCCTGGTAGTTGTTGTATTTGAAGTTTCTAGTTTCCGTTTCAACAACTCGGCAGGATTTATACAACAGATCAGCAGGGTGGATGCAACAACATAATAGGGTTTACACAGAGCGGAGGCAACTCTTAAGCAACAGCACAGCAGGGCGTATGCAGCAAATTAGCAGGGTTTATACAACAGCACAGCAGGGCGTATGCAGCAAATTAGCAGGGTTTATACAACAGCAAAGCAGGGCGTGTGTAACAGTTTAACAGGGTTTATACAACAGCAAAGCAGGGCGTGTGTAACAACTTAGCAGGGTTTATACAACAGCATACATAAGCTTAGCAAGGTTCATACAACTGCACAGTAGGTCGGGTGTGTCAGCTGTGGCGCTGTGGCTTGTGAATCGGAAAATTTCGTCGATACCAACGTACGAAGGATCACACGAATAATCGTCTCAACATGCGTGAATCAACTATGACGCATAAAGTTACATAAATTATTTCAAATACTAATTCTGCAGCTTTTCTTGTTTTCCTAAAAATGCGTACTTCAAAAATAAGTTTTATATTTCCAAGGTCTTCTCAATAAAACCAAATAGTAACTGGTCAATGTGCATAAAAGGTAACTAGTTTTACGTTTGTCCAGAGGCATCATCTGTATGCATATTGAACGACCGTTGGCGATGCTAAATACGTAATTCATTTCTTTATTCTTGGCAATTGTCAGACACATTTTTAGAACATGTACATGATAGGTATCTTTGAAGGCTGCAGTACGAATTGGAAACTGATGAAGATGGATATTCTAAAGCCATCAACATTTATAGTTCAAGTTAATACTCACGAAAAGAAAATTACTTGTAAACCAAGGGACGCAACTCTGCACATCGTAATGCGATTCTTAGATGATAAGGTAACCTGAGCCAATGGAGATAACGCCACAAAGGTATTATCCCCATACAGTAAGGTGATATGCATACACAATGTCCCTCCGTTTGTTTTAGATCATTAATGTCGATATTTATGAATAAGTGCTTAAACATTCTGGCTTAAAAAGACGAGATAATATAATAGTCATTAATAGTCAGATAACTTTGTGTGCTGATGATTATGCGCCTCACTCGAGGAGTGTGGGTTCGAATATCGGATGGGTCTCTACCCACAAAAGTACTAGGACATTGTTATATGGCAGTGTAGAGATTCGGTAGACGATCATAGCATTGTGTTTGGACAGTGATAGGTCGTCAGGAATGTAGTACAATTTAATGTCAGCAGTTGTCAGGAAGTTTGTATATTTAGATTCAAGTGCGGTGCGTAAACTTCCGGTCCGGTATACCGCGGACGATGATAGTGCGTTATAGAAACAGGTGGAACATTCTTTGTTGTGAGGGCACTGTGTAGAAATTTCCAGTAGCTAGGCAGGCTGTATTTATGGAGACAAGAGCATGACTCTCGCTTCTCTCACACTTTATATCACATGAAGACCAGCTTTCGTGAGTGGATCACTCATCACCCCTAAATACCCGCCGAGGCCGATTCGGAAGCTTGTCCACTGTCGCCGCTTGGTGAATATATACTCTTCAAAAAAAGAAACTTGACACTGACTTTCAAAATGTAATATAATGCGATTGTTTCAAAATAGGATACAGAAACCATAATTGAAACACTGTTTAAAGATCAATGTACACAATGTTTAAAACATTAATCGTGTCACCTAGACAGACACACGTACACGATACAGTTAATGTCACAGGGGTACAGAAAATGTCAGCATCGGTTGTGCCCACCACGTGCATCAATCACCGCTTGACACCGACGACCCATAGATGAAATCAAGTTGTCAATAACACGCTGTTGGATGTGCTGCCATTCATGCTGAAGTGCATCAAGAAGCGCCGGAAGTGGTTTTTGGGCGGCGGATTCCTTCTGCGAACGCGTCGATCCAACTCGTCCCACAGATGCTCAATCGGGGACACATCTGGTGACCGGGCTGACCAAGGTAATGTCTGGATGTTGTTGTGCTGTAAGAAGTCCTGACAAACACGTGCAATATGCGGTCAAGCGTTGTCCTGCTGGAACTGTCCACCATGAACGTTGACGTGAGGAAGAACATAAGGCTGTAGGATCAAGTCTTTGTAACGCACACCTGTCAGTGCACCTGCCAAATGCACGAGAGGCGTCCTACCAACGTGATGAATTCCGGCCAATACCATGACACTCCCGCCGCCAAATGGGACAACCTGCTGCACACAGTTGGGGGCGTAACGTTCACCCCGACGTCTGATGACACGTGCGCGCCCATCAGCACGTGTGAGTACGAAACGGGACTCGTCAGTAAACAGTACATTTCTCCACCTTGCACGTGCCCATATAACCCTCTGTTGGCACCAAAGCAGACGGTCTTCCAGATGACGTGGGGTCAATACATGACGTCGAACAGGTCTTCGTGCAAAAAGTCCAGCCTCCCTCAGTCTGTTGCGTACCGTTTGATCTGATATTCTGCGTACCCCAGGGATCTGTGTGGTTGTAGACGTGGCTGTGGCGGTCTCGGAGGTGTCGCAGCCGGATGTATCGATCTTGTGCTTGGGTTGTCACCCTTGGTCTTCCTGAACTTTGTCTGTCGTCAACTCTGTTGGTGTTGTTGTATCGGGTCCACAGTGCGGAGATTGTCTGTCTGGATACGCCAAAGTGCCTGGCCACTTCTTGCTGAGCTGCTCCAGCTTGTAATCTCTCAATGGCGTTGTTCCGTTGAGCTGCATTCAGTTTTGGCATGCTGTCACTGCCTCTACTGCCGTTATAAGGACTGTATGAACAGCCGTTGATGTGGATTTTTATACCCATTCAGCAGGGGGGCCTGCATGCCTAAATGCAGGATCCTGTGCTGCACGTTTTTTACAGGCGGTTGCGTTTGGATGAAGCTGTAAAATTGACCCCCAAACGCTACGTGTATGTGCTTTGCATGTGTTTTCGCGAATGATAGACACATCATCTTTCTGTTTGACTCATTTGGTTCTCATTTAATGTAATTATTTTAGATATTTGGCAAAAAGTGGTTTTACATCTATGTCAAGTTTCTTTTTTTGAAGAGTAAATATTGCACACTAACTTTTGCTATTACCACTGTTTTTTTTAATTTGACCACTGCCATCATATTATGTATTGCTATTGAAAATTGTACCTAAAATTCTATTGTGTACTGTCATTGTAATTGCTGTACAGTAATTTGTGCTGATTTGTAAACCTAGATAATTTGTGTAATACATTTTGTTGTTTGTACACCACTTGTTGGTTGTTTGTTGCTTTTACGTACAGATTTCTGGGTTTTATTATTTGTTAAATTTGGGAATCGACACGTGACAATCTGTACTTCACTCAGAAAGTGTTATCCCAAAATTAACATTTGTTGCATGTTACCACTTTCTAAATGGGACAGTGTATCCAAGTGGTTTCAATCTTTCCACCACAAATGGGGCGATGGTGCAACCTAAAGATAAAAAAAAGTTAACTCGTCGCGCCGACGACCCGGGTTAATTCCACTGTTATGAAGTCCATTTATGGTGTCCCACTTAGTTGTTACTCGAATGTTGCTAAAAACGGCGTTAAACTGTACTCCATCGCCAACATGTCTTACTACAATATAGCGTGAAGATCCGGGGTAGAATAGGTCATCAGCAACCCATGCTTGC